CTTTGTGCGACCCCAGAAACTTCTAATATCCCTAGGTTTTTCGCAGGTACTCTCGTTTTCTGTGTACAAACCAACCGTGGAAGTAAAGCTCCACTTCTTACTCCTCACCCTACCTCTACCACTCAGTGCTCTAACGTAAAATTTACAGGGGAACTAGAGAGAATTTAGGTGGTTATTATTAAGTGCATAATTATCATACAGGTCATTTGAAACAGAATTGTAGCGTGGCGTCGAGTCGAGGTTAACTGTGAACACCGCTACCAAGAAACACGTGCCAAATAAATCAGAAGGCGAAGGTTGAACGTAACCAGATTTATTTCGTTGGTGATCTTGTGGTATTGAACGAATACCAAGAACGTGCCAAGGAATGGTACAAGTGGAAACAGGAGAAAGGAGTACGTGCGAACAGTACCAAAAACCGCGGAACAATGATGGAAGGTAATGGAAGCACAAAATGGCTATAATTAGCACAGTTAAACAAAAGCACGTTAAAACAAACACTGGTACAGATGGTTATAATAATAATTGTTTTTATTAAACCAGTCGTGTTCTCGTGATAAACGTGAGTCACTACAGGAGCCCCCCGCTAGATAGGGTTTACACTTTCGATAAATAGCGGGACTAATCGGCTGACGAGCGATTGTAGGACGGGAGAATTGGCGAACAGGAAAGCGATCGTTGATCGTCGAGTTGCCAACGAAGGTCTTTTTCGGGGAACGGTACCAGGAGCGATGTGCTGTATTTGTTGCTTGAGTTGGCATGCCACACGAGAGTGGTTTGTATCCAGAATCTGAAGATTGCGTTCGTAGGGAATGCGGACCAGAAACGCTGAAGACGTAGGACGAAACCACGTTGAGCCAAAAGACCAGAAGCGACCGTAACGACCAAGTTCGAGACCAAGCGTATGCCAAGCATTCGAAACCAATATATCGACTGAGTGCGTTGACAAGAGCATGGGTGGCCAATCCAGCTTTCGCCAAATTTGACTGAAGTCGACGGAACCAAACGGAGATGGTCGAGGGCGTGGGCTCAGGAAACAAAAAAAGTCAAAAAAGAGAAGAGTGTAGCATGCGTGTAGTATAGGAATAACCCTACACCGTATCAGTTGCTGACTGTGCGGCTAGTCGCGGAAACGTACGGGCAACCGTATTCGGCGACCGAACGTGGGACGGTAGTCTCATTCGCGTCGCGAGAACCTGCAATCTCATCCGAAGTCAAGGGCGGCGTGGTCTGCTGATCTGGATGTGAGACTGTCGTCTCGTCCGTAGACGGTGCAGATGACGCGTGCTGCTGACTGGGATGTGAGAATGAGGTCTCAGGTGTATCTAGCGTGGGACATGAAGATGGTTTGAGGATCCCGTTAGTAGGTTTGATAGGTCTAGCATTGAATCTCAGGGTGTCAGATAGGGCACTGTCATCGACGTGTGCTGGTTTGAGACGATCAATGCTGACGATCTCGACGCGTCCATGTCGATCAACCTTGAAGGTCTTTTCGTGACGAGCGACCACGTGAAAAATGGGCCTTCGTAAGACTGTCGCAAAGGTTTGCGTACCGAATCTACTCGTACAAAAACATGTGAACAGGTAGATAACTCTCGAGGGAGAGCGACCTGTCGATGTTGTATTCGAGTTGACACCGGAGGCAGCGTTCGCATAAATGCAGACAGTCGTTGGACGTAGTCTGATTTACGGAAATCGGGTCTGCTCCGTGGTGTGAAGAATTCCCCGGTCAGACGCAATGTCGTGCCGTATACAAGTTCAGCGGCGGAACATTGGATATCTGCGTTCAAGGTCGTTCTGATGCCTAAGAGAACGAGCGGTAAGGTTTCGTGCCAGTTGTCGTTTTTGTGTGTTCGTAGAGCACTTTTAAGTTGGCAGTGAAACCATTCAACTTACCCATTTGGTGCTGGGTGGTAGACGGTAATGCGTATGCGTATGCATTCCGTACCAAGCAGCCGGGTCAGCTAGGACAATAGTTAATAGGGGAAATTTTCTCGAATATAGCGTGGAATTTACCGTCACGCGAATAAAAAGTGACAGGGATTCGGTACACATACATGGGAGTCTATTATATTATTACTATTCTTATCGTTATCCATCATGTTGAGTATATTATATATTAAAAAATAATATGAAAATATACGACAGACGTGGATAGATAAACTATAGACTCACCGAATGGGTTTCTTTGGAATATTCGACTAGAGGTTGAGGCGTGTTCCAGAATTCGGCTCATCAGCTGTAGCGGGGCGTCGAGTCGCGGTTGACTATGAACACCGCTACAGAGAAACACGTGCCAAATGACTCCAAAAAAATTCCCCGTAAGCCAACTATCAGAAGGCAGTTAATGGACCAAGTCGAGATATATTTGCTGGCGATCTCGTGGTATCGAAAGGATACCGAGATCGTGCCAGGATACAAGCTTGGTTACAGAACGTAACCGAATTCGCGCGAAGTCACAATCAAAGTGTAAGAATAATGGATGATTTTTAGCACAGTTAAACAAAAGCACTGGTAGAGTTGGTTATAATGATAATTATTTTCATGAAACCAGTCTTGTTCTCGTGATAAAAGTGAGTCACTACAGAATAAATGCCAATAGATTTTCTAGAAATAATGTACAAAACAGCAAACTGTAATTCGGTGTCAACAGCAGAAACGTGTAATGAAATAACGAACTCCTAAAAAATGTAAATGAAATCGCTCTCTAAGGCATAAAACAAGGCTTCAACAGTTTTACTCTAAACACAATGTAAAATGTATCGACAGGTTCATCGTCTTTGATCCATCGAAGCTTTGAAGGTAGTAGCATCTAGTATGTTCTAAATATTCTCTTGAAATTTCATAAAGTAATTGAGTAAGTCCGAACTTGATAAGTATTTTTATGATGAATACCTGATGTTAATTACTATGTGTTTTACCTGCATATGTCTTCTGTTACACACTTGATCTGTTTATTTTAATGAATGACACGTGTGCGATCGGTCATAGTACAAAAATGTGTTAGAATAATGCATTATAATATATCATTTACTATAGGGTATGAAGTTGTTAAAATCAATACGATAAATCAGTCAGATGAATTTCTATGGAGATATGATTAAGGGATTTCATTCATTAGGTAAACATTTTGTAGCCCTATCTATTCTAGATAGTAATGTGTTATCTCTGGTCGAGATCAACTGAGTGAATATTGAATATCAGCGAACTAACGTGAACATAACTAATGATCTTCACCAAACATTTCTTGCTTTTCCTAATGTATACTGATTTCTTCCTTACATAATGCGTAGCTATGACACAAATTATGGTCATTTATGATAAACTGTAACTATAATGCCATAATTGTTTGTTGAAAGTAAATAGTTATTGGAACACTATTAAAGATACATAAATTGTTAAATTAATGATTTTACTATCAATTTTAAATCTTCTGTTTACTTTCTTTTAGCAGCTTAACATAATTTCATTCCTTCTACAGGTTTTTCCAAAGAGCATCAACTGTGTTGATCTATTTGTATAAATCTTAACCACATCTTTATTCTAAGACATTAAAATGTCTTCATGTTAACAATTCCAGTTTTAACTGAATGAATCTCATACATAAGAACACTTATTTACAATGTAAGTGAAGTTTCTCCAATAGTCAAACTTATTGTCTGTTAATCACAAATAGGATTCAATCGACGTCGCATTAATGAGGCTTTTATTCAGGCTGTTTTCAGCATTTTGGCTTATTAATGTCATCTGAAGATCAAAATTAGCTGCATCAGTATCTAGAGAAAATGAATTAGTCAACTGTTTATCAGAACTATGAGATATATCAGTGGAATACGTTTAAAAGAATCTGATGAAATTTTTCTTCTCATTGGATCTAAATTAATGACAAGAACTAACTGCTTTACAGTAAACTATGTTATCAACACTTTCAAATAGTAGTAGTGTAAGTAGTAACAGGACTACAGAGAATAAATCTACACCATTGTGTACGATTTTGAGCCAAGACGCTCAATGTCCCCAACCATTGGTATAATAATCACGCGAACTTGACATACATTAAGTGCACCTACTTACACAGCTCAGTCCAAAAATAACTTCGCTCAAAATACACTTATGCCAAAAGAGACTGGTCGATCGCAGTTTGATGACCAACAACTGGGAATTACAAACATTTATTAACAATGAATTACCTACACTTGTTACTCCCCATGAAGACATAGGCAGCCGACTAGGAACCTTCAACATGATTTGTTCTGGGCTCTTCTTTCCAACCGCTGAGAAGTCCTATTTATTCTTTTGATGCCTGACTATTTCCGTCGCTAAGAAAGCTAATAATATCTGCTGTTAATAAATTTATGGTACTATTATTATTGCATTTGCAACCGATTTTCTGTCTGAATATTTCGCTAAGAATATCAACTGAAATATTCAATTCGCACACTCGTTAATTGTTGTCGGTACGAATAACAGCAGTCATCAAGCTTGATCAACAATCGATAAAGTTTTTAGCCCCTAGTGTTATGCAATTAATTGCTCTAAAATTAATTAATCCGATGTAAGAGATGGTTGAAAAGAGTTTGAACTAGAAGACAATCACATTTTCCGAGAGATTTCATTCCCATCTCACTAAACATATTGCTTCAGTAAGCCGAATTTTGAAGGTAGACAAATTACCAAAGTAATCATATCATACAATAATGCAAAAACCACTGTTTGTTTAACATCACATTGATCATTACTTATCAAATGTTTAACCATACACTCAATCAGTTAGATAGTCATGATGTCTTTTGAAATTTATTCGATTAGGGTTTCGATATTGGCTCCGTGAGTATAATTGTCACTCCAATCATTTTAGTAAATTCTATTAAATTAATAACAGCACTCCCTGTCACATCATAATGACTCAGTGCAAGTAAACGAAAGTGAATACACGAAAACAATGTGAGTAAGGTATCTAACAGTAACCCTTTACATAAAACAAGTTTAAACATGAGATGTATATAGTAAACATTTATTGGGTGTAATTTGACATTGATTAGAAGAGTTTATAAATACTTATATCAATAATAATAATAATAATAACCATTTGGTGAATAAACAAATAAATAAATAATGGCATAGATATACATATTGAAAGAGATTAAAAAACTGTAAACATATTTGATCCAAGTGCGAATAAGTTAACTCATAAAAATCGATATCATCAAACTGGTAGTAGTTTTTAATAGTGAACAAAAGATTGTTTTTTTCTTTTCAAAAGAAAAGAAAATTCATTGAGAAAAGGAATAAATCAAACAAGAGAAAAAAATGGAAAGGAAGAGTAAAGTTTGTTCCTTATATAAAAAGCATGCAATAATCGATTGTAGATAAACAGAAATAAATTCGACAATCTATGTATTTCGAAAGAATAATAACATATCACCGAATTTTGTATGAATTATTGCACAACCAAAGAAGATTAGCACAACCATATGAGGAATATATAAATAAAGCTTGGAATGATTTATCTAAATATGTGTATGGATAAATACATAGATAAGTAATTGGATACAACAAGTGTATTCATCTTCTCCATCTACTTCTTTATTCAAATATTTTTTTATCAGATTCAAATGTAAATAAAAAGTGAATGAACTATTGTGCTTTAAAATTACTATTTCTTATATATATATATATATATGAGGAGAATTTCATCACAACCAAGAATAGTATAAATGCATAAATATGAAAATATTTTAAGATTTCTTAGTGTCCCATACTTTGTGAAAACTCTCCATAAATGAATCATAAATCATGAAACTGATACAAACATCTAAACAGACACGACCTAGTCTAGGTACAGTACCTTTATAGAAACTGTAAACAGAAAAAAATATAAGTATGCAATAAGAAAATGTATATTAAGGGAGAATACAAAGAAATAGATTAAAATGTAAGGAATACTTGTCGTTCACTTCAAAAGTTTATTAAACATGCATGAAAATAACAAAATTATTATAATTAATTCATCTACTAATGATAAATAACGAGTTGGAACCGGTTAAGTACATGTTCCCGTGAAGACATACTCGTTTTTATACCATGATTATAATTAATATTACAGAGGTTTTTTCTCGTTATAATACATACATATAAAGTGGAAGGACAATATGCACAGGTCTATTCAAATATTCTTTGAGATATCTGGGATTTTAAACATTCACACTGAAATCCTCTTATTTTAAGTTACACAAATGTTAGTCAATATTTAGACGAATAATTTGAGAGAAATCGAGCACCGAGTACATGGAAAACAGCATTTTCGCAAAATTAAATTTGAAATAATTTCAATGATCGCAATGTAAATGATTCCAACGTTTCATTCAGAAATCTTGTCTGAACGTCTTCAGTGTAACAGTTAAAATCAAAATTATGAAAGAATATTTAACGCTTAAATATAGAATCAAATCTACACTAATTGCTTATCCAGTCATATTTAGAAACTGGCTTTAGTGATTACGATAAAATAAGTATTTTGAAGCGAAAAAATACTTCAGAAAGGGTTTGGCACGAACAAAGATAGGTTGACAGCAGAAGCACTGTATAATCAGAATATCTTGAACAGGAGAGATGGTATCCAAGTAGTCCCACTGTTGACAAATTATCATTCATAAGTAACTGAACCTTATGTATATCCACCCTATTTATGTCACATCCAGCACAGTTCCGACCAAAATTAATTTGAATATTTGAAAATCACACCTATGTATTTGATGATAATAAATATAATTTCGTTATATCCCAATGGGTATAAAAATTGTATTTCTGGTGTTTCGTGACTTAATGTAAGCCACTTCATTAGAGCAAATAAATAGCTGGATTCGGTTATTTACTTGCACTGAAGAAATGGTTTACATCAGAAATACAATTTTTCTATTCATTGGGATATAACAAAGATACATTTATTATTAACTTTTTACCCAATGCTCAATTTATTTGTAATTATCAAGTCTGACCTTGGAATTGATATCTATGTATTTGATGATTTCCATTTTGCATACACATCGAAGTATTGGAAACATTTTCAATATGCACTTTTATTATTACTTTTAATAAACAAATGATTAGAATTAGTTCACCGGATATTAACTATTATTAGTCCAAAGTTACACAAACATTTATTTTCACATTGTGAACTTTTCAAATGATTCAAATCTCACTGACTCATGCTGTCTTATATACTAATGTTGACCTTTGAATATGATTAAATAAGCAATTAGTGTAGATTTGATTCTATATTTAAGCGTTAAATATTCTTTCATAATTTTGATTTTGACTGTTACACTGAAGAAGTCCAGACAAGATTTCTGAACGAAATGTTAGAATTACTATTTCAAATCTAGTTTTACATAAATATTGTTATATCCGAGCGAAGATTAAATCACGAGTAACTTCTGAGACATATTAATTGACTAATATTATTTATACATTCTTATGGTATAACTATTCAATAATTAGATTATGTATATTTATATTCCTCTTATTATAAGCTTTATTTTGATCTATAATTTATTATTGTACGATTTATTGTTCTTAATCTATGTTCAGTTTATTGACTACTGCCTCCCACGTTCACATTCACTTTTTGGCTTTATTGTGTACAAATGTTATTTCTTATTTTATGGTGCGTTGCAGTCTGTTTGGTTGATATATAAACCCAGTATGTCTGAAATAAATGATTCGGTTCGATTCACATAATGGAAGCTGGTATAATTGTTCTGGACTCAAGTGGACGGACTAGGCGGACATAGGACCAATAAGGACACTAGGCTACTCTCATACCGGTCGAACGTCATTGGTTTGGCACAGTGCAAAGATTGTATGTCGTATTCTGATTGGTGGATAGATCACGTGATAAAAAGCCGGACACAACTCGTTTAATTATTCCTGATCATTATTTAACCACTTTTAACACTGATTTTTCAGGAATTTTTAAATTAAACTAATAAATTTCAAGATTATTATTGTTTCAATGGATGAAATCCAAAAGACAAGCTTTAAATAAACTCTATAAATAACATGAAGATTATATCTTAAGAAAAAATTCGGTAGGATTTGTTATTAGGTCTTTCTTTGTAATAGACGTTTTGGCAAGTAGTATCTTTTGAAATATAAACAGGATCTTCATTAGTGATGAGTCGATCACATTATCATGTTTTCAGAAATACATTATATGTTCAAAATCATACTAGTTCAATATTTCGAAGTCACTTTAAATAAACTCATAACTTTTGATGTTCATTAACACTGGTTAGAAATTGTTGTCAGGAAAAAACAGATTACTTAGGTTATATTGGGTTTCATGTACTAAGGTAGTAAGGCGAGAAGCGGATGTGTGACCTCTTTATCTCTCTAATCAGTTTATCGACCCATAATGCCAGTAGGACGAGTGACCTGACACATAGACCAATGGACAATTACCAAAACCTTGACTCTAATTGGTCTTTAAGCTCTTTCTAACCTAGTGCTCAATCACAAGACAAAGATCAAAAGGAGATCAATTATCTATTGTACTTTATTTCAATCATGATACAAAATATACATTAATATGACTGAAATGTTTGGCCACATGGTGACGCGACTTAGGAATTACAGTGTGCACGTAACTTATTCAGAGGTGATTCAAAATAAGAGTAAAACAGGGATAATTGATCAAAATGGTAGATGGAAGTAGTTAATAGAAAATCCTGAGCCTAGGTTTCGTTTTATTTGACATTCGTCAGCAACGTGTACCAGTTCCCTGAAAATCATAGTTACACTTTGCTGACAACTGCCAAATAACACGAAGCCTAGGTCCAGGGTTTCCTATAGACTACCTTCAGTCACCATTTTACATTTCGAAAAAGTGCACGCGATGTCGGGTCAATTAGGCTAACGGCCATATTTCAATGTGATCGATAGCATTCGATCAGCACGAACAAGAACTTGATATGCGTGACATTGGTCATTACTCAGTGATTCATCAACTGTAAATAATTAATGGTAAATTTGGAACAATAGGACTATAGCAATTCTCCTACAATCGATTTCGATTATGATTAAATTTTGTTCAGCCGTTTTATTAACTTGCTTGACAGACAGTGGTATTCGAACAGTAATAATTAGTAATTTTCTTTGTACTATTATAATCACTTACGCCTGTTTTCTGTCATAGAGGAGTATAGGCCGCTCGCCAGCAGGATTCAACATCTTCCGGAGTTTCGCCATCGAGTGTGTATGTTAAGATCTACTGATGCAGAGGCTGCTGCTACACTAGTTGTCTTCATCTGAATTTGTTAGTGTGTATGGGATAGGAGGGTTAAGTCATCTGCGAAGTCCAAATCTTCTAACTGAATTCGAGCTGTCCAATGTATCCCATACTTTCCCTCGGATGTCGAGGTCTTCGTAATCCAGTCGACCAGTAAGAGAGGGAGAAGAGGAGAGAGTAGGCAGTCTTGACTAAATCTTCTCCTTACTTGGAATGTGTCTGCCGGCTGTCCTCCACGCACGACTTGCACTGTAGTCTGTCGTATGAATTCCGTATGGTGTTGACAATTTTCTTAGGCACTTAAGTATCTTGTCAGACGATTACAATAATTACAATAAATGTATAACTAATCTTCAGTAGTTGAATTCATGGGTCGATTTAAGCTAAACCACCATTGAAAACCTGGAAGCACTGGACGGCCGATTCGTCTCAGTATGAAACTCCTCTGCAGTGCGCATGCACGGTCGCGCATTCGGGACTCTATTCCAAAACCTTCAAGACTCGCGCACAAATGCTTGACCTCTAGACCACTGAGCCGGCATCCCATATTGTTAATGTCTAACTTCAATCGATCCGTGATCTTGTGCAACCATTCATTCATTGTCTGAGGTAGATACCTGTTTCTAATCGTCCAGTCATTTAGCTCTTGTTCGCTCAAATATTGTCAATAAAATTATTTTAAATTGAAATACCCGTTACCAATAAATAAACTTACGCAAAAAAGCCTTCTTCAGTCCATATTTTCCAAGCGCAATGAAGTGTATTTTTATACTTATGTGCATCAAGGCCCTACGTAAAAAAACCAGGAATTTTGGTAATTAAGCTATTTTGGACTGAATTAAATGGGAACAACAATAATATATTTCAATATTAATTATTCAGAAAAGTTTACCTCCTTAAACATACTTTCAATTCAAAGAAACAAAACGCTCGTGTGATATTTTGTAAACATAAAATACTTGAAGTAAATGAAAGATATTCGACTGCCTATGGAAGGTTAAGTATTCTGAAGAGCAGTTACCGCTGTATTAATTTACATATGAAGGACATGATCTTTGGAATCAATTACCATGAGCAAGTAACTCGTAATAGACAATAAACGCTTTGAAGCAGTAGTTTTCTAATTTATAGTCATCATAACCTAAAGAAACATGGCAAATAACATGGATTTGTGAATTCACTAACAGTTTATCTCAAGAAGGTGCAGAATCTGGAGTTGGGGTAAATCCATACAACTTCACTCAGTGGTTGGAGACTTGAGACGATATTTTTCAAAATAAGTATCAATGGAGCAGATGCCCTATTACACAAATATCATCACCCTCAATATTTTCCTTCATGTTATAAGGTGATAATTATTACTCCTTGAACTGAGACCTATTTTTACCTGGTCCTAAGTTATTTGTCCTTTCTGAAGTTTGATAAATTAGAGAACAACTGACGAATAATCAGGAAGAAGTAACTTGGTGACATTTTTGTCATTTTTAAGCAAGATATTTGAAAATGTACACAGCATATCGGATTGCATTGAGCCAAGAGATAGGATCTGTTGACTACAAGCTAGCGTTTTTCAACCGTCTGATTGAAAAAAGGTCTAATTAAACGATAAAAACTATCGTTTTCTGGAAATCAACAAATTCTTAGAGATAATTAGGCTAACAATAAGGACATATTTGTTGTACGAAGGTTATAGATGTGAAAATCTTAAATAACAGTTGTAATCTCATTAACGACAGGGAAGGTCAAAAGATTGGAATTAAGAAAATTCTAAATAAACAAAAGACTTTATTTCTTGGTCAGTAGTACGATATGATGAGGTCTAGTTAAAGACAAAGGTAGGTTATTAAAAGAAGAGCAACAGGATGTTGTATATGAAATTAAATATCATGCGGTAGAAACATCTGAACGACTGAATATGAGATTGAAGAAACACAACAATGTTTGAAATATGTTTCTAAGTCATCGGTTGATCTCAAGAAACTTAAGAGTAAATCCATAATTGCGCTATATTTATCAGAAACAGACAACAAAATTAACTTCAAGAGGATTAAAGTTCTTCAGAAAGGGTTTGGTATCCACAAATAAAAGACTGACGAAAGAAGCGCTGTATATATTGAGTAATAGGGACATCTTGAACAGAAATGATGGAACACAACTAGCTACGCCTTGGCAACCGCATATCAGTAAGTAATTTGGACTTTATCTCTACAACCCTGTTTGTATCACACATAGCTTTGTTTTATAAAAAAGTTAATTCTAATCATATGTGAAAATCATATTTGAAATAATCTCAGCGACTGAAATTTAAATAATCCCAACGTTTCGTCCAGCTAACTTGTCTGGACTTCTTCAGAGCAATAGTCAAAATCAAAATCATCAAATGAATATACAGTCTTTTAACAACCAAATCAGATTAAATGCAAATTATGTTAATCCAATCATATTTGGATGCTGCTTTTAGTAAATAAGATAACATGAGTCAGAAGCGCTGTGCATATTGGCGAACAAGAACAAGCTGAACCGAAAGGATGGTATTCAACTACCGATTGCTTGGCAAATATTCGTTGACAAATAATTGGACCCTTTCTTTATTCAGCCTGTTTATTTCACATGCATCGTTAGTTAGAAATTAATATGAGTTATATTTAGCAATACAATTATATATTTGATGATTCTCATTTTTATTTGTACTTCTATGATTCAGACTTATTATCCAGAGTGGTTAGGTTTCAAATTGTGTTCACATTATTATCATTACTCTTATCATTATCCTTATAGCCTCTTACCCCGTTTCCAGTCTAGTTGACCTTTTATTTCTATATATAAATGCTCTTAACAAGTATATGTGTGGTCAGATTGTTCGAAATGTTCGGAATGCGCTAATATATCACATAAGTCTGATAATCTTCGTCTTCTAATTACATTATCGAGATTCAGAAACAATTTTTCAACCTTCAACTTGTACTTTTATTTTCCTTCATATAAAAACATATTAACAACGAATATCATTCAGTAATATCTCAATCTTACATGTACATACACACACAATTAGTTCAGTCACATCGTAAACTTTTCACATGTTTCGCATTTCACTGACGAAACGATGGAATTATTTAAATTTCAATCGCTAAGATTATTCCAAATATAATTTCCACATTTAATAACTTTTAATGGATAAAATGATGAAAGTGTTTTTGGCAGAAAACACAAACTGCTTATAATAATGAAATCATTAATAAAATACAATTAAACCGATATATACTTTCACAGCTTACTGACTAATATTTTCCCAATTAACGGCACAGACAAATAAATATGTTAAGATTAGATTCTAGAATAGACATGTCTGTAAACATTACATGCTTTCTTTATAATTTTAACTTTCATAATTACCCGGAAGAAATCCAGACAAGAATGATAGACGAAACATAGGAACTATCAATATTTTTATCGATGATTTCATTCTATTTTAAACAGTTATATGAACGAAGAATGTTCTTTTCAGTAATTTCTCATGAGGTCTTACAACTATAAATCCAAATTAGTAATCCATAAAATTGGCCAGTTTTAAGGTAGAGTACATCATTTAAAATTGTAATATATGAATCAAGAGTTGTTGTTTGTCATATAAAATAAAATTGTTAATGTTAGCATGACTAATACGAAGTGGATGGTGGATGCGCATTACTGAGGAGTCTGATACTAGGAAGAAACGGCCGTCCAGTTCTTCCAGGTTTTCCATGGATTATTAATTTGGATATATAATTGTTTTAATATGATTGGAATTGTTAATCTTTTATTCATGTTTCAACAGTCCGCTGCTATTTTGGTTTATTTCAGTGTTGCAAAAGCGTTTTAATCTCAAAGTCTTCACTAGAAAATTGGACTAAAACTGTCTAGACTGGATCATGCATACCAATAAGTCTATTATGCATTTTGAGGGAGAAAACGGGACTTTTGACAATGGAGAGACAGACGTTATACATGACGACATAACTTAGGAGTTGAATTTGTAATAGTGTGTTTGATAGTATACTGTAGTCGTGTTAGACAGGTGGTAACGATTAGTAGGAAGCTCTCGAAGCCAACCTTTATGTTAGTTATCTAACGGTAAGTATAGATATGGATACGCTTGATCTAGAGTATAGATCAAACTTACTACGATGTGGCTGACAAGATAATTTTCAACAATCTGATGTTGTAAGCGTAGACCACGATATCGGCATACTTAACCAAGTGGCTATTATGGGAGCGTGATCTACAAATCATGATCAGCACTGAATATTAGTTGATTGTAGCTGATAAATATTGTGATAAAAGTACACTTACTTGCATTCGAGTTTTGACAACATCCAGAGGTGTGTTTCCATAGACGGATGCTGCACCAGCAATAATCCCAAATAATCCAGTTAGTAATTTTGGGACAGGTAGTCCAGTAGTTTTGTCACCTCGATACTGTCGATAACCATCCTTCAAAGTTTCCATTACAAAGAAACGAATGGCTTGATTACTTCCTTGTTTCAGAATTGTCGGTGTTACACCTTTGTACATACCAGTAATCCCTACAACATGAAAAGAAAACTAATGAAGATTTGATCATTGACTCAGTCTCATATGACTCAACATAATTTCTTGAAATTTAAACTGAAAACAGAACTGATTAGGCCGGCACTGATGCCGGCTCAGAGGTCTAATGGTTAGGCGCTCGCGCGCGAAACTGATGGGTCCTGGGTTCAAATCTCGCGGGGGGCGGGATCGTGGATGAGCACTGATGAGGGGCCCCATACTGGGACGAAACGGTCATCCAGTGCTTCCAGGTTTTCCATGATGGTCTAGCTTCAATTAACTCATGATTCCAACTATTGAAATAATAATCTACTGACAATGATGGACCAAATATTTATAAAATTATTAGAATGACTAATGCACTGAAACTAATAATTTCTTTGACTATCTTTGCTCACAATCCTAATTGAGCGGAAACACTGATCGATTTTCTAAATACATCGTACAAATGGAGCCATGAGTTATGTATCAGATAATAAACAATGAGGTAAATGATGTTCATAAAACGGCTAGTTTATGTTGGATGTTTGCCTACTGTATTACCCACCATGATCAGTACAGGTGCATTAAGAAACGACGATATGAATTCAACAAATGTGTATCACTTATAGACTAGACCATATTGAACGTATTAATAAGATAATCAGGAGAATTATGAAATTTCAAATTGATTGATCAGCTTACATCCAAACATGAAAGCAACTCCATACATATGGAAAGAAAGATATGTCTGTGGGTATTCTCGAGAATGTTTCATGGAATCTACATCTCGGGCACTAAACTCATAAAGTAGTGGGATAGCCTATCAGATGTTGGATACAGCATCAAGATTAGAAGTTATGTAGAGGCAAAAAAACTTTCTTTGTGTTATATCCCGATAAGAATAATGAATGGTAATTTTTAGGATGCATTTATGGATCAGTACTATGAGTATATTTTTATCGTGTAATTGTTATGTAACTAAACTGTTCATACTCATGTCCTTCTTATTATGAGTTTTATTTTGACCTATGAACTATTCTTGTACGATTTACCATTCTTGGATTATTCCCTGTCTGTTAATCACTACCTGCCTCATTCACAGCCACTTTTGGCCAAATATTGTATAAATGTTATTTTTTATTTTATGCCACGTTGTGGTCTGTTTGATTGGTATATAAACCCCGTATGTTTGAAATAAATGATTCATATTGCAGAGATTGATGTTCTGGACTTAACTGGCTGGGCTAGACAGGAAGTGAGACCAATCAGGACTTTTGGCTGCTTGCATGTGTTTTATGCGTCACTGGTTGGATCGATAACTCGCTGCTCTCTGATTGGCGGTATCGTTGCGCTAATCCAATATACAGGGTACACAGGTTCACAAGTTACAACACTTTGCTTCATTTAGCTTGCCTTATTGACTCAACGCGTGCATTACTGTACTTTAATATTCAATAATTTTCAATTCTTCGTTTGACCTGTAGATAGTTGTCACATATATTATTGTAATTCATTGGTCGATGTGTCAATTGGTAGGTAGAAGGTCATCTGTTCTAATGGTAATATAGCTGAACTGATCAGTAATCGGATTAGAGAAAGAGAGCGAGAGGTCATACAACTGCTTTCCTGTCATTACGGCTCGATCTTAAAACATCCAATACAACCCAAGTAATCTATTTTTCAGATATAATAATGATACAATGGGTTTCAAAACATACCTTTCTTTTATTTACTTAACATGGAACGTTAATTAGACAAATGTGAAAACATAACATGACAACACTTCCATCATATTGCCAGTCTTTGGAAAATTAAACACGATATTAAAAAATAACGGTAAATTTGTTTTCTCACTTATGTCACAGATTAGGGTATATTTCTTCTACTGTAATATAATTCTCACAAAATCACCAAAAAATATAAGTAAAGTTTCAATTGATTTCTCGGTAGAAAAAAAGACTTATCAATTACGTATTCACGGAATGTGATATGACTTTTAATGGAGCAATTTATTACCGCGACATTTACAAACTTCGTCATTCATAGGTTTCAAGAAAACATCTACTTAATATGCTTCTTCAACCTTTGTTATAGATCGGTTGATCGAGAAAGACTATTTAACTCAGTTGTTTAATAAGTAGGTGTGGTTCATTATTGTAGGCACTTAAAGTTTGGTCGGTATATTGTAAGTCCGAAGATTATGTGATTTACTTTTCTATAAACAACATGGCAATGAATCTAAATAAAATTGCTTACGACTTGTACCTTATAACTAAGTTTTGAATATTTCATTCATACCTAAAATTTAAGTTTAATTAAGGCAAATTAGTCCAACGATCTAATGTTTTTGAATGTACACAGAATCACTAAGGTCAATGTGTATATGGTAGATGAAAGTAAGTAAACCACTAAGCAAACTTAAATTCCAATAGAATTCCTATATCACTAGAAGTCTGCATGTTTAGTATGATTTAAACAATTACAGCAATCGCAACAGGTGATAGAAGAGTATTATAAACTAATATGAAAATGAATAAATTGGAAACGTGAAAAATTCTAACTAATTATTTAATATTGGGGTAAATTTATCGATCAGAAATCGTTTGTGGAGATCTAAGACATCAGAAAAATAAATGTAATCAAACGATATTGTGTCACTGTAATCATGAATTGATCTAGGTCAGACCATCATTGAAAACTTGGGAGAACTGGACGGCCGTTATGTCCCAGTATGAGACTCCTCACAAGTGCGATTTTAGGACAAGGAATCGAACCCTTAACTTCTAAACAACTGAACCAAGATCCAACAGTATAAAAGTTTAGTTTGAATCAATCCACGACATTGCGCAACAATTTTTCATTGTCTCCAGTGGGTAACGTTCTGACACTCAATGCGGTTGAACTCCACTGGTTACGGCTTCTGACTGGAACTCAATCGGACCCGCATTAGGCTTACTTATATGCATCAATCGAGGCACTCTGTGGATCAATGGTAACAGTGGAAAAGGACTACACAATTAATCCTAGTAAGTAAGTCAAAGCTGCAAAAAATGAATTCATTGGAAATGACGTAATAAGAATTCGTGAATATTTAGCTGACATACGTAGATAGTAAAGAAGAGAAAGGGTAGAAGGAATGAATTATAACGTCTATCGAATTCTCATCCTCCCAAAGAAGGAATAAAAATGCTACAAATTTCTTTAGAACACAAGAACTAAAAAGGTTTGCTTGAAAAAGTATTGCTTCCACTAAATGCAAAAGACGAGAACAAATTATATCTAGAAAATTTGAAAGGAAACATTAAATAACTCTTGCTTCTATCTACCAAATGACCACGATGAACTAGATGTGATTAAAAGGAGTTGTATAATGATTTCTAAAGTTATTCTTAAGTCGTACAAAGACTAGGGAACCTTTTGAGGCTTGATAAATCAAGTCGATCTGTAGTCCATGAAAATACCGAAATCGATTCAATTTATCAGTGAATCAGAAAAATCGTGGACAGCTATCAGGTCGAAAAAGGTAACAACCAAAACAAATATGGAAACGATAACAGGACAAGTATCAAAAACAACAAATAAACATCAACTGAACAGGTTGCCAGTAATATGTGCAGAAATTCGAATGCATCGCTTCAATCTGAAGTTCATATTGATGATATTTCCCAGAAGCTAGGTGTTCGCTAACTCATAGGTTAAGTTGTCCATCTGACCGACCGATTCACCTTTATGCACATGAGCAGGTGAAGTGGTGAAACTATGTGAATTATCTTTTATTTGAGGAACTATCACTCGTCAACTAGAAAATGATAAACAAGCACAAGCTGCATTAAAAGGACTTTTCAATGATCTAGTTACTCTGTCACGTTGAACACCTCCAGTCACACCTCCGTTAAACTATAACCTATACCAGAGACGTTTTATACGATCAGTTCGTGTTTCAACTTTCATGTTCATTACACACGAATATTTCTTAAGAAAGGAAACACTAAACACATCCTATTTCAATCAAAATACTGTGTATAAACCCTATTTTTGTCTACATTATCGATATATTTACGACAGTACCTAACGCCTTACTGTTAGTTTACATTGTTTACCTATTGTTATTTATATAATCCTTTTCCATTATTATCATTGACCGACAGATTACCTAGACTGGTTTAATTTTTTTCATATAAGCATATAAATTTTACCATATATTACAGTAAAGCTTAATGAATATCTGATCAATAACAATATTATTCTACTTTACATTCTGTGAATTTCAAATATTTCCGGACCAATGTTTACATAAGATTTGTACATTGATTTGTACATTATATCTCATCTACATAAAAATACTTGATAATTTCATAAGTTTAATACTGTCATTTTTACACTTTAGTAACAAAAATTACCTCGTTGTTATGATTTTCAATGGTCTAAACAGTACACAAAGAAATATTCACTTCACATTTTACACGATATAGTGTAATGATCAGTTGATTCTTAGATTTTGCGCGAAATCCATTACCTCATTTTTCAGCCCTGGTCGGGATGTCTCTATATAATACTTTTATGCCAAATAGTAAACTAAAAAAAAATCCAGTATCGCGCAGTCGAGTGTGCACAAACATTCATTTTATGACTAAACAATCATTTACAACAAGTATTTTGAGACGAACAAATATGCATACATTTTTGTCGATAATTCAACACCTGAGTTCCTAACAAGAGGATTCCAATTCTATACTACCTAAAGTCCTTACTATATTTTCAGGATTTCATACAGTTAATAAGTTTTCAAGATAACTGATGCATAACAATTATAGTTGTAAAACTTAAAAAAATGGATGACGAAGAAAAGTAAATCATAATCATACAGTGAAACCAATTCCTCAAACCATCCTCATATCCTTTACCACATAGAACCAACTGATAGCCTTCATCATGATAGCGTTCAACTGTGAAAGAATACAGCAGATTACGTATCTCGGATAATAACTTTAAACGACACAGTCGTATTTGTTTAGATCCGAAGGAAGTGAAAACTTTAGGAATTCAAAGAACGTAAAGGGTCTTGAAAAATGACAATATTTTAGTCAGTTGGTGGTCAGCGGGCGAATAAATACTGAAAAATACCGTGATTTCAAGTGAAATTTCTAATTTATTTAAGACCATTAGATCACATTTCAGCCCTGCTATTTTAGCAGATCTAAGATGTAATCTTACCGCATTTTACCTGTAGCTGACATGAAGAAATGATTTTTAAACCATATGTGATATTATAATTACTTAGTTAGCTTTATAGTTGTGTTGACAAAATGACGCCACTTTAGAGCTAGAAGCTAGTTCCTACGAAACTACAAAGTTGTGATCCGCCTACAGATTACGACTTCCACGTCGATTATTAGTCAACTTGGGAACAAAGAATGCTGACCTTTCAGGCTTCCCGGTAGAGCTTTAGTGTAAATTAGTTTAAAACAACCACTGAACTCTTTCATTTTTTACAAAATTGTTTCAATGAATACGTAATATTTAACACTAACAGCTTTCTCTCTTACCATGTTCTTTGATGATACAGCCACAGCCATGGAAAAAACCACGATAATGTGGATTTCTAGATGTTTGATCATTAATAAATTTCACTTTGATGGTTTCCATCGGAGTAACTACCATTATAGCTTCACAAACCCCTGCGCCTATAAGTAATAATTATGTATAAAAAAGAGTGTAAGATATGTGGTATAAATCGGATAGCACTAAAAAATCCAATTATCCAATAAAAATTTAGATTTTTACCACCATTATTTTACAATGCTGATGTTTTATTGTAAAATATTTTTGATTGAGATCCATTTATTCTCCTCACAGGTAGATCTTGGACTCTTCCCTTTAAGACATTTGGCACAATCCTATTCAGCGACTGGAAAATAAGTTTTATGGGAGTTGCATCTCTCTCATCCAAGTTATTTTACATTCATCAAATAGGTGTTGGGACAATGCTGTCACTCACTTGGTTAACCTTTAATATACCCAACTGATCTTATAATCAGAACACATCTGGGTTAGAAGCAGATTATTCAAAAGAATTTCCACAGTCCATATTATTTCCTTAAAGATTTAACTATTAGATGTCTGTAGATTACATGACACTGTGGACAAGTTTAGTGGATAAATAAATCAGTCAAATTGTACCTCTAAATGAACTATCAATTTATTTGTTGCTTCTCATAGTATAAAACAACAATCAAGTTATTAGGGTTTAGTAAGGAGTACATAAAAGAGCTACGAGTCAAGATGTAGATATAAATTACTGTGAACAGTGGCCACGGTTTATTTAAAGATTTACAGTATTTGTTAGATAAACAGACCGAGTTCAAAATGTAATGAAAGATAAATCTATTTTGCATCAAGAAATTTCGAACTGTGTTGTCTCACACCTGAAAATCTCTACATATCACTTTTATGTAGGTATTTAAATAAGTTATTACTTTTATATGTTTATCCCTGGTTTAGAAACCCAACCATCACATTTCTTTCATATATTTGAACCCTAGAAAGTATGTGTAGCCAGTCTTTTTATAACTGAATAGAGCTAAGTTTTGGAGTTGTCATTTACACTGAAAACTATGGGTTATGGACTAGTAAATCTAATAAACTATGTTTATTCTATAGCATATATTTTCGTAACTGTTAAATTATTTTGAATATGTTGGTGATAAATTAGATCAATAGATTTGTGGCCGAACAAAACGGAATAGTGACAAAAACGGTAAGCAAAAATAAGCAATAATGAAGCAGAATAATGGCAATATCTGATACAAACTTTGAAAGAACTGTACTTCAATAACAAGTCAATCCTTGTTTTGACGAAAGCACTGAAGTGGCCTGGTAAGGCCGAAATATGAAGCAAGTTCACTCTCTCTCGAAATGCCGTCGTTTGACCACACGTTTATAGCTATCATCAGGAAGTTTATGGGAGTCCTTCAACAGGGATTCGGTTAGGAAACTGTAGCACCACAATGACTCTGTTGATAGTGATGATGAAGGATTCATGAAATGTTTTCTCGTCTAATTTCCTATCAAAATACTTAGGATAACCCTATTAAGCGACAATGGCAATAAAAGCCAAATATGCAATGTTTTGGAATAATTCTATTTCAGAAGTTCATATGCAAGCTTATAGACAGTAAACATGAACAGATGAATGTAGCGGGATCTCTGACTATTGCTAGCCAAAAGACAATCAGTCAAGGGTTAGCCTTTTTTATCAAATACAGAATATAACAAATACAGATGAATAGATAAGCAACCAACCATCCTACAGATAAACATTGACATCCGTACACACACGAATATTGAAAAAGAGGATGAGGAAGAAAGAATATAGCAGTCGTCTATTGAACAGAAAATATTTCGAGTTTTTGATCAAAAAGGATTAAAATGACATTGACACTTACCTAAACCACATAAAAGTTTTCTTCCAGCTGTAAGAGTTCCATCTGGAGATAAATTATGACGTTTAAACTCTTCAAATGCTCCAAATCTAACAAACGAACGTAATAAAGTATATCATAAAACCTAGCACTCAAGACTTAATGTAAGTCGCTTCTTCAGAGTAAATAAATAACTGACATTAAACTTGTGTTAACCTAATTATCGGTTATTTATGTACTCTGAAGAAGTGGCTTACATTAAGTTACAAAACGCAAGAAATAAAATTTTTCTACTCATTGGAATATAGTAAAAATATGTTTTTTTATCATTAGCTTTCTACCCAACGCTCAATTTATTTGAAACTACCACGTCCAACCTTGGTATTAATACGTGTAACACTCAAATTGAATTTTTTTCTTAGATGAATAGATGAAAACGTTATTTATTTTGCTATTATTATGATAAGTTATGCTTATGAAAATTAATCAATTCTAGATAACAAACTAAAATATGGACTCATAAAAAGTAAATAAAATTGTGTATTTAGATTAGTTAGGAAATAATTCTGAAATTAAACGATAAAACCATTTAGCTTATAAGGTAACGTTGGACAAAAAAACACGTTAGCATGATTCATTACTATGCATCATGAAAATTTAACTAACTTTCTAGAATATGATAAGTCTGTTAGCTCTGTATATTAAATAGATGTGGATATTCATATATGTAATCTAAATCAGTAGATAATGATTATATGAAACCATTTTGTAAAATGATGTAATTTAAGATTAGTCAAGGTTAGAAATTCAATGATTAGAAATTAGTGATACATATTTATTGTTTTGATAATCATGTTTAAATTTCACATCAATTCGATTGTTTTTTCTTCATTTCTAATTGTTAACTTCCTGTCATATCAAAATTAATCATATTTACTTATACAGTCTATGTCTGACATCGTTTGTTTGTAGACATTTAATGCTTTCAATTTGATGTTTGACAATATCGACTGTATTTTTATAACAATTTTGTTTTTTTTTTGCTTGAAACGTTTTGAACACAATATCGATCTTCTAAAAGACACCTTGTTTGAAGATATATATCTTTCAAGTCGAAAACAGTTGACCTGCATAACAGTGCTGACAAAATACTTTAGAAGAATGGACAATGAACATCGATGACAAATACAGCTCACTACAATTAGCTTATGAGATAAATCATTTTTAATAGTAAAGGACTTCCAGAAGATTATTCAATCAACGAACATTTACATGAAATAATCTATAGATTTTTGATTAAGAGGTTGACACTGTTGGTATATCAAATGTTAATACCGAGAATATGTCACATCTTTGACCTTACGTCTCTCTTCAACTTGCTTACTTTAAACTTTAAATGCCTCATATGTTAACAGACTCACCTGACAGCCGACTTGGGAACAGAGCCATATAGGAGAACAGGTAAACCTCGATACAAACCACGAAAACCATAAGATCCTACCGTCTTTTTTACACAGTCGATGGGTCCCGAATATTGTCTGGCATTACCCATACGTTCGTCAAGTTGTAATTGTGTCTTAACATATTCAGTCGGGAAAGTGATGCAAATCTCAATTGCTCCAGTGACTCCACCTGTGATAAACTTAGCAGACTAATAAACACTCACGAACCTGCTATGGCTCCTTTTACCGTTTGTTCAATAAGAGTTGATTTATGAGGTCCTTGACTTTCATGAACCATGCCAGAATAACTAAAAAACAATACCATACATTAAAAAACATGGTAGCTCTTTTGAAACTAAACACTTATTCAAAACAGTTTCCTACCTCAACAAAACCATCGAGGCCAGTAAAATTTCTTGATTAAGATTACATGTATCAAGAGAGCATATATTGCAGTACTAATTATTGTCAGTAAGAGCAGGTTTATTTGATAACATATCACAAGAAAGCATTGAAGTTATGTGGGGCTCAACCACACACCATAAGAGTTCGCTCACTAAGCGTTTATTATTGCTACCAAGCAAATATCTTTTGTTTTGGAAAAGAACATTAAATCGTAAGCAAATTTTTACGTATATTCTTTTTATCGCACTACGAATATCACACATCTATGGACTTTCTTCTTAGAAACATGAAACCATACTTCGAGATCTCGTTATGTTAAATATGAAAACGTTTCAAACTTATCACGCCACGAAACGATCACGTTATATAGGAAATTCCATGGCGTTTCTTTTTTAGATACGTTACAGTTAATGACAAACCACAATAAAATATAACATTGTATAAATAGATTTCAAATCCACCCTGGGTCAATCTATGGTTACTATATGTTCAAAGTACGAGTAAAGAATGATAATTGAGGATAGCATTAGCAACTTCGGCTTGAAAAGAACAGATTAGCCAAAACGCGCATACTGAATAAAACTATTTATCCACTGTTCTAGAAGTTGAAGTTTTTAAATATGGAAGAGTTATGACGCCCAGACTCACCAGAAGTCACCGGTTCGATGCTTCTTCTGATAAACGGGGGAGTAATCAACATATAAGCGTGGAATGTCAGAACAATTTATTAAACCGGGAAAATCTTTCAAGTAGCCTCACAAATGAGAAGATACAACTTACTCATACCTCGTCTTCTTCGAGACTATGGAATAACTGAGAGAGGATATATACGTAGGACTAAATTAGAAAGTTGTGGATATAGGGCAGCTCACAGATGCGTTTGAAGTGAAGAGTAGGGTCTTAGAAAGCTATCTACTCTCACATTTTCTAATACTGCTAGCGACTAATTGGATTATGAGGAACTTAATAACTTGGGAGAAGCATGCAATACAGTGTTCACCTTGGACGCAGATCATAATAGTCAGTGAAGTGACTGCTTCTAAGGCAGTATTCTTCAGTATTCACGAGCACGAAGACAAGATCCCGAAGTAAAACTTTGTGAACAAGAACCGAATCTCACTTCAATGGCGAGACTCCAGAACAGATGAAAGCCTTTCAGTACTTGAATAACACTAGTAAACAAAGACGATTTGATGTAGATGTCAAGGCATGAATCGAAGAAACAGTGACAACATTCCTAAGATTCTAAAACGTTCGGAAATCAAAATAACTAACGCTAAAGAAGAAAGTCAGAATTCTCATCACAAACGTTAAGGATGTTCTACGAGGCTGAATCTACCACAACCATCACCATAAGGGTGCGTATATTTATGAACATCCACCTATGAAACATGAATCAGACCAAGTGTTCAGAAGACATCAGCGACCCAGCTGCAATTTCAGGAAATAGTTAGGAAAAGATCATGGAGCGTGATAGGACACATCTTTTGAAAACCGCCGAAACACACTAAAGACCGAGCCCCGACCTGGAATCTTCATGGCTTAGGGGAAGAAACGGACAACAAAATACACGGTATCGGGAATTAGAGAAAGACGACCTGGCAACAACTGGAAGGGAAAGCTCATGATGATATCCTTAGTCAAGAGCAAATACCCCATGAGAAATACAAGGTTTAAGTTATAATAATAATGACTAGACTTAGGTACTTTACAAAAACCACGTACAGGAAGCGTTCACTTATGGTTACTCATATATTAATAAGGAAATTCAATTATATGAGTCTTTAGGATATTTATGATGAAGCTAATCTCAAAACACCTGAAATGTTAATAAAAACAATCATGAATATAAAATAAATACTTCATTCAAAATTTAACTTAGTTTGTATTATTTAAAGAACATGTTTAACACTCTTAAAGGTGCGAGCAAAACTCCAATACAAGGCATTAAGAATGAGATGAAAATTTACATAGTATTGATCCCAGCAACATTAAAGGATCATATTCACATAAAACATCCAAAAAACAGAGCTTCAAACTGCGAGGTCAGAAAACATACTTTTTTAAAAACAGCGACGTAGATGTTTAGAATATAAAAATATATTCCTAGATCACAGAAATCACTAAGAACTCGTTCATAATAAGTGAAAACCTACCCAAGCAACACAAAAAGGGGAAATAAAGGGGAAAAAAGGGGAAATAAAGCGGACGAAAGGGGAAATAAAGGGGAAATGTCGCTTTTTCGCCTTAACGTCGGTTATTTAGTGGAAATGTCGCTTTTTCCCCCTGACGTCGTGTATTTGGGGGACATTTGTCGACAGTTCTACGTAACGTACAGTGTTTGAATTAACCGCATCTGGAACTGAAGTTTTCATAAACTTCGACAAATGTATTCACCGCCAATTAAAAAAACAAAAGTATTTTCATAAAAACAATGTACAAAATACGGAACCAGGCTTTCGGTTGATACGCATATACAGTGACTTCGTTTGTTGTTTAGTTAAAGTGTTCCGACATGCTTTGGAGCCATCACAAAAAACTTACGTGATGCAGGTGAGTGACGTGCTCTCAGGACTTTAGGTTCATTGTGACTGATTACCTTCTTAGGCCAATAATATGACTTTTTCTGATATCAGTGAGAATGTTCGTAGACGTAGGGCAACTGTGAACTTGTCACGTTCCCTTGGTTGTCACAGAACCACTTATAATCGGAGGTGGAATAAAATGAGAGCTGCTTTCATGAAAAAATATCACTTTCCTTCGGTCAGTGAGTTTGCGAATGAAAGCACCGTAAAAGGTAACTGAGTTTAACAATGTTGTTTACTTAATTGATATAAGTAAAGAGAGAAGTCAGTTGTAATGAAAGTACTTCGATTAGTACACCGTCCACTAGCAACTTCAATCAAAGGCTTCCAGCTAATAGTGGTATGAACATTAAATTCGTACGTGAATATATTTCTTATAGGATGTACTGAAGTGAACTTGTGCTCAACGAAGTTCGTGAATCGCAAAGAACAGATGAACGACTTTATGATGTATCTAATGTCAAATACATCACTGAGCATAAAAGATGCTGATCGGGTTCTGTATGGTCTAAGATTTCTTATCCCGGACATACCGAAAAGTATCAGAGGCGTTTTGAAGACATGTCCAAGTGTTCAACGCAAGTTCATCGGCAGTGGGGTTTACTACCATCTAGGATTGAAAACCAATCTGCTAAGATACGTTGAGCTTTGGTTGTGTACTATTGATTTTGACTCTTTAAAGTTGTATGTCAATATAGATGGACTTTCTATGTCTAGAAGCTCCAATCAACAGTTATGGCCTATACTTGGACGGATCATTGCCCCTCGGCTTAGTGACGTGTTCATGATAGGGATCTACGGAGGGAATAGTAAGCCGGCAGAATTCAACGAATTTTCTGCAGACACAATTTCTGAAATAAAAGAAATGACTGACGTGGGTCTTTTTAGTGTTAAGTTTAATAAATGTATAGCTATTACGTTGGCGGCTGTTATATGTGACGCACCTGCTCGTTCTTCTGTTAGGTACACGGTGAATCATAACGGTAAGGCAGGTTGCGATAGGTGTACTGTTCCTGGGAGACGACTGGAGGGTAAGATGACCTTTCCAAATGGGGTATATACTGTAAGAACAGACGACACCTTCCGTCGTCAGACTCAGCCAACTCACCATCAAGGACATTCTATAATGGAAACGCTTTCTATTAATATGATTGTAACTTTTCCTCTAGATCCTATGCACATGGTGTACCTTGGTGTTACCAAAAAACTAGCTAATTTATGGATAAATTTAGCACACCGAAGACTGCGGAACTTTAACTCATGTGCAATTCGGGACATAAATAATTTAATATCTCGTTGTGTGGCAAGTACTCCTTCTGACTTTCCCCGTAAATGCCGCACACTAGACTTTGTATCGGCATGGAAAGCTTCTGAATGTAGATTGTTCCTTCTGTATATAGGCCCGGTGATTCTTGAAAAAACATTGCCACAACCTTTTTATCTTAATTTTCGGCGTTTAGCGTTATCCATGTATCTGCTTGCACATCCACAATTACATAAAAGTTTTGTAGAAACCGCCAAAATAGATTTAGTAAACTTCCTGAATGAATACGAATGGTGTTATGGGTGTGAAAACTTAGTCTACAATGTGCATTCGTTACAGCACCTCCCTGACGACGTGATCACTAAGTGATCACTAGTTATCTGAATTCCGAAGCCTAATCTCAAATCATCAAGTAAACAATCGGCAGAGGAGAAAACCAGAGAGCAAGATTTTTTAGGATAATATGTGGTGCAGATAGTAGTGTAAAAAATACATGGTACCAAAATAAATACCATCACTGAATAAGGTGATAGAACCACGAGTCTCTTACATTAGAGATAAAAGTTTTTAAAAGCTAATGAAAATCTAAGGTATTTCAGTGTCACTTTTCTATCGTTCGGAGATTACATGTAATTTATTCTCATCTGGAATAGTTTTTGAAGACGTACATTCAAATTAGTAATAGATCATATACTTCCTAAGACACACAATATCATCATTTAAAAGTCAAAAGCATTTCGATTCATTTTAGTGACAGTAATATACGAGAAAGCTTGAGAAGAATGTCTTTCACTGTAAAAGCTTTAACTGCCACCACGACCTTGAGCTCAAATCGTTATAAAGATGAAAGTACAGCTAAAGTATTACGAAGTAACAAAATATATAACATGCAATATTAATATGTCGAATGCATTCAAACTAAAGGATTCTTATTGAATTTTTTCTTCCTTGGCAATTTCAAACTAAAGTATCTTTCAGTCTCTGACAAAAATGATATGGGCACTAGATTGTTAAGACCAGAGACAGATTACTAAGCGCTTTACTACTCGAGATGCAAAATGACACTAACTGACATTTTAGTAGATGAAATTTTAAAAACTAGGCAAATACGAGTCCCGAGAGTTTTAAAAGGACACTTGCTGGTTAATTTGCAACACTAGCGAATAATACGATTGCTCCATTAGGTTCATCCATGTAATATACACTTCGATGTCCTTCGCTGCTCTCCGATCGATACTTTTGTCAATCCTTAAACTTTGTAGGATGGTAAGGCTCTACTCCACAGCCAAGAACACTGTCTAACCGTAGTATTATCATAAATGACTTTCCTCCAGTTTAATGTTTCACTAATGTCCAGTTGTCAAGACTCTCGAAGGGAATACTTGACTGAAGACGAGCTTAAAGAGGAGGTAAGAGGTTCTTGACTGTGAGGCGAATAAATATTCGGCCTTCTATGGAATGCTGAAAGTGTCACGCAGCATAACACATGTCTGGGAGTTCCCTACAGACATGCTATACCTCAATCCGATGTCTAGCGACTGTTTCGAAAAGATTGATATGGGTAGCTAGACCTGTTTAACTTTTGCTTGTAAGACTCACCCTACTGCCTAGTCAGGTGCGTTTACTGCGATACTTTTAGGTGCTTTGATGTCCTAGTGCGTATATGTTAGCTTTTGAGATAATTTAACTAAATTTGGAGAATGCTTTTAGCATTGTCGTTTAAATTGTTGAGTTTCTCAACTACAGGAAGTGGGTCTGTTTAAAGTCTCATGAGAGACGCGCAATTTGGCATTAATTATCAACAGAAACTTACCGGTCATTGAACGTATGTAATCGATTGACTGTAAGTGGTTTTGAGTAATTCACAATGGTCAACATCTTTCTTGTCAAGGGGCGAATGCTCTGGGCCCCATTAGTGTGTCCGAGAAAATCTAAGGAGTTGGTTCCAATTTAATATTTCGGAATGTTCGCAGTAATGTTGTTTTTGCAGTCATTCGTAAAGAGGGTCCAGATGCTGGAGATGAGATTCTCTCTCCTGACTTTCAGTCAGTTGGTAATCTACATATGCGTATACGAAAGTGAGACCTGTGATAGCATCATCAATCAAACTGTGGAGAGTTTGATAAGCATTTCTTCAGCGGAAATGCGTGCGAGGAAATTCATATAGTCAGTTGGAGGTGATGGCAGCAGTTCTAGAGATGTTTTCTGAAGTTATAGCAACTTGATCGTATGCTTTAGCCAAACCGGTCTTCGAAAAATAACAGTCAGGCATGGGGTAACGTTGGGGAGTGTCTTTCGTATCCAGTCGTCGATAATCAATAAGTCGACAACAATCGTTACTGCCTCCCACAGGGTTATATCCAAGGTAGGTATCAATGGGCTATTTGACGGCCGGATAGTTTTTTAGTCTGTTGTGTGCTCTAATACACTTTTAGCCAACATTAGCTTTTCAGGAGCTAGTAGGTAGGCTTTCGAAAATACACATGAACCTGTAGTTGCGTGTTGCATTGTTAGTTACGGGCGGGAGTTCGGCAGCGTTTAGTATAGTTCGAGGCACTTGTTGAGTATCCATTGAAAATATTGATCGATTAGGTGCTAAACTCCATCAAGAGAATGCGATTTCACAAACATATAATTTTGCATCTCTGTCTTTTATCCGTCATTCGCTCGGGTAGATGAGAAGATTATGATGTTGTAGAAGGTCTGTATCTATGATTAGCATACAAAGATCCTCAAAAACAAAAACCCGGTGTATAGGATAGAGTAAACCTACCTTGGTATGAACATATTGCTTACCGTATATGGCAATCAATTTTCTACGTTCCACTTATAGTTGAAAACCGGTTCATGCAGACGGTCGTTAGAACCCAACCAACAAACAAAGAGGAGACAGAGGGGAAATGCGTCGGAAAATAAATAAGAATCAAAAGTAAAACGCGCCATAATGTCTGCTTTTCGCCTGTCCAAGGGAAATAATGAGGATTTCCGCTTTCTGTTGCTCAGTCGTTCAAATGTCGCTGAACTGTCTACTTTTCGCCCAAATATTCGCTAAATTGTCCATTTTTCGACTAAATATACGCAAAACTGTTTGCTTTTCACCTAAATACACACCGAATTGTCTACTTATGCTTTAACTTCTGAAACACAATTGGCATAACCCTAAAGGCCTCCTATGTTTACCTTTATCCCCACAACAAACCACACTAAAACTGCAGTCCACGTGAAAAATGGTTTATGTTTAAATAAATTTATTGAAAACGAAAAGCGCATTATTGTACAATATTTTAGCAGAAGCTTGAGCATCAAGTGTTATGGATTTTCATTGTTATTTCTGAAGTGCTCGTTTTGAAGAAGTGCAAAGTAGCGTGAAATTACTGGCAACCCCACATGTCATGAGGTACGACAAAACATATCGCATTTAGGTTTTAGGATCATTATCCATTAACCTCGTTACCATGACCATCTGTAATAAGAAAAATTTATAAAATTAATGTTGTTGACTTACAAATCTGTCACTGGTTTCTTTCTGCTGCAAACCAGTGTCCAACATCTTCAGTTCCTCTTCAGATGACAAAAGGAACTGGTGACTTGATAGTCAACAATCGAATTGATGCGGATGTTCGTATTCGCTGAACTCCGCTAGTAGCAGCTTTACATTTGAACTCAAGTCAGTAATAGCTGACGACATGTTGTGCCACATTGTATTCAAGT